CCCCGCCGGCTCACCCGCCGTACCAAAGGCGTACGCCGTAATCCAAAAAACTCCCCCTTGTGGAAGCTATCCGAGAGCAAGGCAAGTCTCTCAGGATAGATGAAAAAAGCTTTAGGTCAGATCCAGTGTTTCTTAAAGTAGAGTGGTGGTGTGAGACAGGGGAAGGATGGGGACAGTAAATGTTAAGCCCTACCACCATGGAACTGCTGCGTTGGCAGGGCCCCAATTTGGGGTGACTGACAAAGTTTCTAAGAGCTTAAATTTGAGCTGCAGCTGGGAATAAATGAGAAAACAGTGCTGACTCAACGGGGACCCTTTATCTTCAGAAAGACACCATCTTTTTGAGGCAATGGACTTACCATTGGATGCCTTTACAAGTAGGTTGGATGAATGTCAGGTACAGCACAGGTTCAGATGGGTCTGTCATAAGCATCCCGTTTGATTGATGGTGTGGGGCATGGTTTTCTGTCTCCTGCCTTTGCTGACCTGTTCTCACTATTTTCAGAAAAACTCAGCTCCATCAGTTTTCACTTACTCTGTCCATAGACGTTTAAAATTGGTGTAACTTAAGTAACTGATATAATGGACTTGGCACAAACACGGCTTTGCTTATTAACCTAGAGTATGCAACGAAATAATTGCAATGCAAAGACTTGCTATATCTTCTCTCAATAAAATCAATAACTACTTCCAACTTTTTAAGCTGATCACTGAAAAATTGGGCAAGAAAAAATGTCAGTCTATGGAAAATATCTCTAATTGTATTCCCACTGCCACTGTTGGTTAATATTTAACGTTTTGGAAGTGCTTTGGGATGATGAAAGGTGCTACTAAAAAAGCTAACCGCTACTGTGTCATGACACGTGACAAAGTACCATGCTTCTGAAAGGCTTTAATTTGCAAGCAAAACAACATGAATCTTGTTAGCTCCTCATAAAAAAACAGACCATTATTCTCAGTAAGTCACATCTGCTGCTCAGGTATGAAAGTCCTTATTTAGCTGCTGCGTTTGTTTAAGTAACAGTGAGTGATATGTGGTATTGGTGATCAACAAAGGCTCAGAATTTTTTCCGTGAGAACTCTTGTAGGACTACAGCCAACTCAAAGTGTAGTATGCCTTTGTTGCAGTAAATGGGGGGAGAGGGGGCCAATGGGGTGTTCGGCCTCTTTAAAACACACCCAAACAAACAAACAAAAGAACATTAGTCCAGAATTCTGTAAAAAGCTGAATGTGCCACTGAAAAATAGCGCAGTGGTGAAACTTATGCTGGAAATCCACTCTGGGAGTGCTGTGGGTCAACTTTGGTGGGCTACTTTGGTGCTGCACATAGTGGGCTACTTTACTTTGTGTGGAAGTTTGAGAATGGGCTAGAGAGAAGCTATAAAAGAGAGACATGTTCAACCAAATAGGTTGGGCCTGAGTAAAATGAAGGAGGAAAATCTATGTAGCAGCTTGTATCTTAAGATCGTAACATGGTACCACCAGCTGCAGTCAGCCTTTGACACTGTTCTTCAGAGAGAGAGGTTTGCAAACAACTTTCAGTATCCGTGCTGC